CAAAATTATTTTCTATTCCACTAACAATATTTTTTAGAGCTTCATTCTCTTTACGTAATGTTAAAATATTATTTTGTAATTTATTTTTGTCCTCTTTAAGTTCATTATTTTTATTTTTATAGAAATCTACAGTTTCCATTAGTCTACATAAAAATAAACATAATTATTACATTAAAGAATTAACAAAATATGTATTATTAATTTAATTAGTTTCCAAATTACTTCTGAATCAGACCATTATTTGAAGGATTGTCGTTATCATCACTTTCATCAACTAATGGTTGAACCCCTAGTTCAATGTTGACAAAATCCAACTTTTTTGAAATATTTTGATGTTGAATATTAGATTCTCTATAATGTATTCATAGCATTATTATACAAATATTTTAGAATTCTACTTAAATTGATATTTAAATGTGTCTAAAAATTATTAAAATAAAAAAAATATTCATAGGAAACTTACACATCAAATACTCCAGCAGGCGTATTTATTTTCTGTGGTTCAACTATGTTTAGTGGTGTAGAAGGGTTCACTGGTCTTATAAAAGGAATATCATAATAGTCGGTGCCAAAAATACTATTAAAAAAAAATGTTGGTATTAAATGGAACTAAAAAAAAAGAAAATTAAACCTGGATACTATGATATTATTCACCTCAGAGGAATTGCATCATCGTTAAGTTTTCGCATACGTTTAGGTGAATAATTTAATAGTTTCTGTATCAATGGCTTATTGATATGGTAAGGAGCAAAATGCAATGAGCAAACAACAGCTGGATGGAATTTAATAAGTAAATGTAAGTGAAAAATAACAATACAATATGTGTGAATAATTGTAATATCTATGTTCTATGATCTCACCACTTTTAATATTTATGGATTTTGCATTAATTGATTGGCCATATTTAATTTGTTGCAACCACATAAGACATACATTTATATCTTTTGGGAACCTATGCAGATGGACTTCATGGTTCATCTGATTTTTTCCTTTCTTCCTAGTACCACTATCACAATTTTCAAAAACACACTTAGGCATTGTTATTAACTTTCAAATACTTATAGATACAGAGTATTTACTAATTAATTTACACAAATTTATGTAACTTAGTTTTTAAGAGAATATAACACATACACAGTTAAATAACATTCTTAAAAATTGTAATATTTAATGAAAGTATGACAAAATAGCACAAGTATAATTCCATCATGCCCTATTGATCTATTATACAACATTGTAATTGATTGGCATTTAATTATATATGATCTTATCAGTGTTTATTTAATTACTTAAATAGTTGAATGTAAATATTATAATGTCAAATATATAAATGTCAAAAGGGCATGATGGAATCTCCCCTAAAATAGTATTTAAATTATCTCTGTTTATTAAGTTACTTAAATATATAACCTAACCTTTAGAATCAAATTCGTTCCAGGTGGTACTTTTGGTAGGTCAAAATTGAAAATTCTCAGTAGGTACATACATTTTTATTATAGCTAAAATATATTTTTTTAAATAATAAAAATACGGTCCGTTAGCCCCCATGAGTATGCCACTGCTGTACCTATACGTATAATGTGGGCAGTAGGCACATATTTATTTGTTTTTAAATCAGTTTTTTTCTGTGTAGCCACTTGCGCTTAGTGCTTACCCGGTAAATTGTTTTATAAATTTAAAATATGAAATACACACACTGACATAGATACCATGTCTCAGTATTCTGTAAAGAACTTAATAAAAATAATAAATACGTAATATAATCAAGCAACAAAATTTTAAAAGTTCGTTACATCATGAGAACTTTGGCTAAAAAAACTTTGTTACATCGAGGGTACCAAAATCCATTTAATTATTCGATATACCGCAAGATTTTCAAGGGAATGACAGTTTCATTCGTTAGCCCGAAAGCACAAACTAGATTCCCTTTCCTATCAGAAAAAATTATTCTAAAATAGTAAATGGAAGCATTTTTAATGCCCTAAAACGTGATGAATAATAAACATTAATAAAAAATAACACAATTGTTTAATCAATACATTCATTGCTCCGCTCAGAATCTAAAATATAGTCACATTAATATTTTATAATGAGCGTTTAAAATTTAAATTGTTGATTACATAGTAAAATCGAACTGCGGTAAAAAAGTACGGTAGGTATAATTAATAATTAGGGTCTGATTGGTCTGAACATTTATATGCATTTGCATTTTTTTTTAATAGTCCAAAAAGTAGTTACAAGTTTGAATTATAGCCAATACGGAACACAGAGTTTTATTTTGCATATTTTTGGATATTTTGTAATTTTTTGAATATTTCTGTGTTTTACGAATACTTTTTAACCGTGGACATTGGTAAACGGAAAAAAAGTCCCCGGTAAAAAAGTCTCCAAATTAATATTTTATTTAAATTCAGTCTTTTATCATATAGGTATTTATATGGGTACAAAGCCCATAGGTAATACATGTTACATATTTTTATTGAAAATAATTCTAGGATTAAAAATAAAGTATTTATATACATAATTAGGTACATTTTAAATTTTAAATTTATTGAAAATAATATAATTATATAATATCTTAAACATATAATAATATTATTTAAAAAATATAAAAATATATTTGTTCAGACATGCACCCCTCGTAAAATAATAAAAAAATGAATAAAATATGTACGTTAAAATTGTATTTACTATTATATAATTTTCAGATCTTTTATACTTGAAGTTACATTTTTATTTTTTTTAAATAATATTGTTCTATGTTTCTGATATTATATTATTTTCAATAAATTTAAAATGTACCTAGTATATAAATACTTATCTACGATAATTTTTAATCCTAGAATTATTTTCAATAAAAATATGTAACATGTATTACCTATGGGCTATGTACCTATATAAATACCTATATTATAAAAGACTGAATTTAAATAAAATATTAATTTGGAGACTTTTTTTCCGTGAGACTTTCTTACCGGGGACTTTTTTACCGGGAACTTTTTTTCCGGGGACTTTTTTTCCTAATATCCCCCTATGATCTGTAATGTTTTTACAACTAGGATAAATAACAATTTTAAACTTTTGATAATACTTTTGATTATATATTATAGTAGGTAACATACAATACAAAACATGTTATATAATATATTAAAAAAAAAAAAACAAAATATTATATTAATAAAAAAAAACTTGACACTTTAGGCTAGTAGGAATGTTGTCACACCTATAAGCTGTAGAAAAAAAAATTATTGAATTAATATGTTATATAATATTTTCAACTCTGAAAAAAATACTACTACAGCATAAAAATACATGTAGCTAGTAAACCTTAATACAAATTAAAGCACAAACCTAATATATATTAGGTATATAATAATAATATTTTTTTTTTTAATAAACAATTAACAATAAAATGCATATAATATCTAACTTTAAAATAAAAAATGTATTTATTATAATCAAAAAGTAAAAATATAGATGAGAGTGGTGGGCCTGTATTCTGTAAAGCAAATGCGGCGCGGCGAGGCGATGGCTGAGCGGTGAAGTGGGAGTGGAGTCGTCGGCGGCGGCGGAGGCCGACCAATGAAAAACGGAGAAATGCTTACGTCACAGTACATGGCTGGGCGGAGGGTGGATGCGCGACCCGTCTAAAAACGGGTATTTTGCTGACATACCTATTTAATTTGTCATGCAAACCACTAACGGCAAAAACAATAATTAACGCGGCATAAAATACGCGACATAGATAGGACGCCTGTGTAATAGTGGGGTTATAAGTTATAATTTATAAATTGTAATATTGTAGCGTACGACGAAAACGAGGTTTTTATCGTTAACGTACTGGCCACTGATAACGAAAAGTGAATTAAGATAATAATATACCGCAACTCGCAAGCGACTTACAGTTGTTGATCGGCATCGCGGCGAGCGCTATAGTCGGAAGAATGAAAAGTCAAAAGTGGCCGTTGATCCGCACGCTCCATGGTGGTGGATTTCTAAGACGGTTTCGCAATGATATCATTTATCATATTGTTAACTATAATTATTATTATCGGAAATCGGAATCAAAAATAAATATAATTGATTTTTAATTTTTCTGGGATATCCTATACCTGTAGGCTGTAATACATTCAAAACTATTATTTTAATAACGTAGAAAATAACGCGTTATTAGTGCATTACTTCATAGAAATTACTTTTCAAAAGTAATTTTGTTACAATTGCGTTACTTTAAGTGAAATGTAATGAAATTTCTTCTGCGTTACTGAAAAAGTAATAGCATTACAGTAATTTGTTATTTGCGTTACGTTACTACCCAACACTCGTAATTGGTTTATTGTTATATAATGTACATTTATGATAATAAATTGTCTACTCAGTATTCCACATTCAAACTCCACGACCCCCTCGGCCGCCCCTTGAGCACTCTCGAGTTCTCATCGCAGAATATCTAAAATAATATCTCCGTCAGAATGATAAAAAAATATTTCTAAAATAATTAACTTGAATATTTCAGGGGAAACTATGAGGAAATAATTCTAAAATAAATTACTTAAAATATTTCCATTGAAGCTATTAGAAAATATTTTTAAAATAAATTCTTCAGAATATTTTCTTGTTTATGACGAGAGAATATTTTGAAAATATAATCATCACCTAAATGCTGTGTGGGACGTGATAAAATAATATAATTAATTCTTTCCAGATATTTGGCTACCGGAGCTAGTTTCAACTCGTTGTCTTTTGAGTATCTAATGGGAGCTTCTACAATACGAGATATAACTAAATCTACATGTGAGCAAATATGGAACATACTTCAACCGTTATTTATGGCAATCAAACAAGAAGATGACTGGATTAAAATTGCTGACGAATTTTATACTCGCACAAATTTTCCCAATATCATTGGAGCGATAGATGGCAAGCATATTAGGATGATACAACCAGAACATTCCGGAACATCATATTTTAATTACAAAAAATTCTTCTCTTGCGTTTTAATGGCTTGGACAGATGCAGATTATAAATTTGTTTACATAGATGTTGGTTCTTATGGAACAGCTAGTGATTCAGAAATATTTAAAACATCTCAAATGGGAAAACGGCTTTCTGACAACCAGCTTAATATTCCCCCCGGGAGGCATTTGCCAAATGATGACGACGGAAATGTCATTCCATTCTCTGTAGTTGGTGATGAAGCGTTTGGACTTGGAAATCATATTTTAAGACCTTATGCAAAAAGAAATTTAAACTACACCAAGCGAATTTTTAACTATAGACATACAAGAGCTCGTCGTGTGGTTGAGTGTTCATTTGGGATTCTCGCAAACAAATGGCGTATATTTCACCGCCCAATTGATGTGAATATCGATTTTTGTGTTCGAATTATAAAAGCCTGCTGTGTTCTTCATAATTATGTACGTATCAAAGATGGAGTAAAATTTACAGATACTCTCTACAATTGTCCCATGGATAACTTAACGATAATTAATGAAAACAACCGTGGGAGAAATAATATGGACAGTGTGCGACAGTACATGTCTTCATATTTTATTTCTCCAGAAGGCGCCATTTCATGTCAATATGACAAAGTGTAATACTAACAACTATTTGGTTAGGTATAGGTAAATTAATAAAACAAACTCACTCATTTTAATTATATTTATAATGTAATATAGTTTTTGTATTATTATAATTATTATAATTTAAGTTATTTATGTAACTAATTATCTACATTTAATAATTGTTTAGTTTTTTAATTTGTATGTTAGGTAATCTAATAAATAAAACTATACATGATCTAATATTCTAGTATAGTGTATACGCTATTATTTTAAGTGTAAGCTGAAGTTGTATTATATTTTGTTAAAACTAGATTAAAATGAATAATATAAAAATAACCACTGCGACATCGTTATCGCACCGCTGTGTCGTCGCACCGCTGTGTCGTGGAAACTTTGATATAAGTAGTTGTTATTTTTAAAACGTGTTTAATATATTTATTCTTAAAAAATTTGGTATCTATTGTAGGTACGTATATATATATATATATCTATTATACTATTATTATACGTAATTATAATTATAATTTTAGAGTATTATTAGTAGATTATTATTTTTCATTTGATAATGAATTTGATTGATGGCACTCATGCCATTACTTTTACCTTGTTTTGTTTTTTCCTGGGCACCAAGCTCATTCCAATCGGGAATAACTACTTCACACACTTCTTCCCATAGTTTTTTCTTCAGATTTATATCAGAGTATTCTTTTAGTTGTTTTTTATATAGTGCTGGTCTCTTTTCAATTTCTTCTATCAAATTTTCGATAGACGTTTCCACAAGCATCGACATCGTGCGACAACGTACTACCTTCATGCTCCAAAGCTCCGGTGAATCGGCCGAGTCGGCAGACTAAAAATCGGCAGAGTGCGTGCGTGGAATGATCGCCATACTGATTAAGCAGTCGGCCGATAGTTGACCAACAGTTCAGTTTGAAGGCAATCGTGTAGTCCATCAAACTTATTTATCGGCCGATTTTAAATCGTTATAATGTGCGCTCTTGCATACAACTTTGTACTGATTAAGAACCCGACTAAACTATCGGCCGATATAAAGTCTGTAGTCTGCGATGTCTCTTAATTGTATAACGCCCCAAGGGTTTAGAGTACACAATTTTGTCATCAATCATAGTTTTGCCTACGTTACTATTATGATCTAAAATAGCTATAATTGAACGCATATGCATACCACTGTACTTTAAATGAATCCTTTTAGGCATGTATTTTAATCTGACCTTATGATATGATTCTAAACGTCCTGTGTGTACAAAATGTTTGGCATGTTGGAGATCTTTTAGAAAATCTTTTGCCAATAACATTTTTTTTAGAGCATTGTAGGACTCGCTATCTGGACGTATCCATAATGTATTATTTTTATACTCTTCGCTCAATGTATCATGTTCACATTTTTTTTTATAATTCCATCTTCTTCCCATTCATGTATATTACTTATGTGTTGAAGAACTGATGTAAATTTTTGTGTAAGTAATGAACCATCCTCTTTACATGTTTTAGATGACCACCATAAATGATTATTTATGCTTGTTTTCCACAGATAAGCATCAAGGTATTTTTTATCCAATATTTTCATTCTTTTCATCAAACTCTTTGATAAATGCCAGATATCAAACTCGTGTAGAATTTCCGGAAATTTAGTGCGAATATCATATCGAATTCCTTTGTGCCTATCAGTTAGGAATAAATCAATTTTACAGCCTTGTTCTACCATTTCTTCGAGTAACATTTCACAAGCTTTACGTTCTAAATCTCCTTTTACCATTCCTTTTTGGACAAGCTTGAAATCAATAATTTTACGACTATTCAAGTCCATTAATGTATAAATACAATATTTCGCACAAAACCCTGGAGAATCAAATTGTCCATCACCTGCCACCCAAATTTTATCTGAACTCTTTAACTAGTGCAAATTTGATTTTTTATGATCACTCCATATTGCGTTTATCACAGGTTCTGTATAATTTCGAATTATTTTATCATATGAAGTACGAGAAAAAAATGCAAGTTTTAATGTTTCACAAAAAACTGTCATTTGCGCAAATAAAATACCAGAAAGCGTCAAAGATGCACCTATTAAAATATTTCCCTCGGGACGTGTTCCATTTTTATTTTGTGAGCTCCATTGGTATAAATGACCTTCTTCACAAATCGTATTGACCGATAAAAATGCACCTTGGACGAAGTGTTTAAGTTTTATTATTTTACCAGAACATATATTACAAGATTTGAATAAAATTAAAAGACTTTCCCAAAATACTATAAAACATGCATTTGTACTTATATCTATCATACTTTTATTATTTTTAAATTTTACATCTGTATCATCTTCAGAGGAGCTATTTTCATCGGACAAATAGTTGAACGACTTATCATAATCACCTGCACTATCTTGACAACGGTAAATTTCATAACCTATTTCACATTGGATGCCCTTATCATTAACAGTGTCATCATAACTTTGTCTTGAACATACAGAAATCAAACTAGAATTTAAATTTAGGAAATCGTCATCAAAAACTTCATCATGTACATTTTTTTTTTTTTTTTTGGTGTGCTAGTTTTTAATAATTCTACGACCATCTCTTTTTCCCTCTTTCTCGAAATTCTTTCCTCTCTATTTGAGTCACTAGTAGTTGAAGCGATAGAAATATTTTTTTGAGTACTAAAAATGGTAGGGAAAACTCTGGGTTTTAATCTTACAACTACTTTAGTGTCGGGCATAAGTTTTTCACGTAATAAGTCGGATTCATTAAAATCTTCGTTAGAAAAATGTTTAGAACAAATCATTGATGACTTACCAGGAGCAAATTGTTTTCTCTTACAAAAATTAGTCCACTTTAAAAATCGATCTGGCGAGGTTTCTCTACGAGGAAATCTAAAAAAAGGACACACCACTATGTTGACAACGTGAGTACAGACGTACAGTATACGAAATGAGAGGTATATTTGTATATTATAATAACAAAATATTATGCCACGATAGATAAAAATATTATCAGACAATTAATAATAATTATAGCCACTGCCCTACTAGATATTCATACATGCCACCGTCGCTGCCACGTGCCGTGATAAGATTTTATGTTAAAATATCTAAATAATAATAAGAAAGCCTCACCCATCTCTAATATTAGCTACGAGTTAAAACTATATACGACCGTACACGATCGTCAAAACAATATTACACACGTTTACTGCAGCAGCAGTATGGTAAATTCATAATATAATTTATTTAAGAGTTATTTTTGTCTACACTATTAAACCAAAATGTGAAATAATTATACGAATGGAAAGATACTCTTGAATACATTTGATTAGTTCATTCGAAAAAAAATAAGTTCATAAGCAGTTATTTTATGTTAAACCAAAAATGGATTCGTGATCTCATTCAGTCGGCGAAAATCCACGCAGACACGGTATTTAACGTAGCCATTGACGTCGGGTTTCTTCGGGACTACTAGGAGTGGAGCGTTCCAAGGTGAATCAATAGCTGTAATCACACCTTCCCGTTTGAGGGCCTCCATTTGGTCCGTAATTTCCTGTCAATGCCTTTGTGGTAAACGGTAGGGTTTTACGTGAATTGGCGATACCGCTTCTGAGGTTTTGATCCTGTGTGTGACCGCTGTAGTTGCTGACACTCGATCTCCTTCTAAAAAGAATATGTCCGAGTAGTCTTGACAGATGGCCACTAATGATTCCCTTTCTTCAAAATTCAGATGATCGGTTCTAAGTGCTTCTTCCAATCTTTTCAGTCGACTGCTTGCATGAGGTTCTTCTTGTAGATCCGTGACTTGTACCGAATGTATCAGAGCTTCCCTGAACTGCTCATGGATCAGTTCCTTTAAATTGGGCGTCCTTAGCCTTATTGCTTCTTCGGTTGGGTTGATGAGTGTGGCTAACACCCATTTGTTTTGTACTTTGGTTACAGAGTTACTGCACATGACTGATTTCGTGACTTCTTGACATTCGATGAGGATGATTTCATTTTCTGCGCGATTCTCTGCTTCTATTCCTACAAGGGTTTCAGTGCGGGGTTGTAGCACTATTTCAGCCCCGTCAGGAATGATAACTTCATTAGTCTGATAATTCAGAATAATTTTGTTTTCTACCATAAATGGTCATCCAAGGATACCATCGTTTGGGATTGGGAATGTATAATGGATTACTTGGAACATTGCAACTATAATTTTATCCTCGATACATAGTTCCAGTTGTGTTTGTCCCAGCGTGTGTACTATCTGGTCATTAATGCCCTTCAGGTGATATATGACGTCTTCGTACACGATTGTCTGATCCGCAAGTGACGATATTTTTATTAGATTGAACTCACTCCCAGAGTCTAAGAGTAGCTTCGATTTTTTGCTGATGGTCTGTTCAACGTGGCAGATTAAATGATCGCGATTTAATTCTTCTTTGAAGTAGAGGATTTGTCGTTGCCGGTGTTTTTTAACTCGCTCACCGGGCGCCCACCACTGGCGGCCGATTGCTGCTGGTTTTCCTGCTGGTTGCCTTCCTTTTTAGAGTTTACATAATTCCTTTTTCGGCAATCTTTCAGCAGGTGTCCTGGCTTTTTACAATATTTGCATTCGATGCTTCTAATTGGTGCCGTTGTGGAAGAAGGTCTTGAGTTTGTCGTTGTCGGTTTGCTCCTGCAATCCTTTGCCATATGACCAACTTTATTACAGTGAAAACAAGTCGGTTTCTTCGTGGATTGGTGTGGCTCTCCATATAACTTCTTTGTCGATTCTTGTGAGTTTCTGACCTGTTTTTCTTCCCTTGCTGCGTGTATGGCCTTGTCTAACGTTAGCGGATTCCTGGCCTTGATGAAGTCTTTTAGAGGTCTTAGTCCCTCTACGAATACTTGGATGCTTTGCTTCTTGATACTCGCTCCTAGCGCTTGAGCTACCTCCCAACTGTGCCCACTGGTCTCTTGCTCTATGATAAGTGTTTGGAGTTGCTCAATCCTATTTGCGTAGTTAGTTACATCTTCTCCGATTTTCTGCATTGTTGAATACAATTCTGAGAATAGATAAGTGGTCGTCCTCTGCGGTTCCAGTGCAGATTTCAACGCTTCCTTTAGTTCAGGCCAATGTTTTATTTCCTAAAACTGCCTGACGGGCTTTCCCTGTCAGTCTAACTTGAATACCTTGGAGAAGTCGCCCCTTTACAAGGACATGTGCGCATGCTAACGCAAACCCGCATTTTTCCAAGAATATTTCCAATTCCTCTTGCTTGTCTACACTGAACGAGCCTGGCAAGAGTTTTAGAGCGGCCTCCAGTCCTATTGTCTCTCCTCTTGATCCGAATGAATATCGTACACCGGATTGATCTGGATTTTCTTCAATTACTTGAGGATTTGATATCGCTTGAGTGTCTGCATTTGATGTTCCTTCAGAATTTACCATGATGCTTTGTTGGTTATTACCGGTAACACCCTGTGTTTGAGCTGTCTCCTGAGTGCTTGGATTCATGGTTTGGTCACTAGAGTTTAGAGGAGGGGAGGGTATATTCTGATTTAAAAGATTTTCTTCAATTGATTGGTCTAGGATATTAAGATTGAGTTGATTTTCTGCGTCCCCCAAAACGGTATCTACTTCCCCCAAAGTTACGGAGACGTATTAACTCTGAATTATGGTCTATTAGAACGCCAGTTCTGATAAAGATGTCATCAGTACTGATATTCCCAATAGAACGTTCGGATGTCGGATTTTCTGGATTTGAGAATCGTATTGGTAAACTTACACGAGGGGTAGGACTTGGCGGTACTATTGGATTATTTGATTCGTTATCTGAATTTGGGTCCGAATCGTTTTTCCCCGTTCCGCTCATTAACTACTTAGCTACTGATACTTAACGAATTGTTATTTTTATATATATAAGTGTGTGTTTACATGCAATTGTATATATATGCTAATGCTAACTAAGATATTAATATTATATTAATACAATACTACAGATTTATGATTCTGAATCATACAGAAAGAAATAATAATAAGAAGAATAAAAAAAAAAATAGATAAGAAGAAAAACGTACTTATCAATTAGTACGGAGTGTAGAACTAATGATTTATCAAGATATGGTTACAGTTTCTTTTTTTTTCTTATTATTATCAATTTATTTTTTTTTTTACTTACAGTATCGCAGTTACAATGATCCTTGCCATGTTTTTTTTTTTTATATTTACTGAATTTTTAACACTTCTACGGGATGCTCGGGATGGTCTGCACTGATGTTCTGCTTGGCTTGAATTGAATTCCTTGTCTGTTAACGACGACTTTCCTCTTCGACTGCGCTTGTGGAATCGAAGTTCGCTAGCCCCGAAACTGCTGCCGCGGGGACCACTACACCCTGTAATGGGTTTCTATGATAATACTAATATAGTATAATTTTATTTCACGCGTGACGCGTCTATGAACACGGCGCACTCGTGTAGTATATTTATATAAATAATATACACTACTATAGCGACGGCCCGTGCTGAATATTGACAAAAACGGAGATCGCGCGTAATATTAGCGTATATGATATAATACGATATATATACGTAATATGACGGCGTCGGCCAACACTGCTTAGTGCTTGATACCACTAGGCGACGGTATTTGTTTACAAACACGACGTTACGGCGGCGGCTATATTCCGTCGGCACTATATTATAATATATATATATATTATATATGCGGCGGCGGCACAGGCGTTCGGTTTCGTACACACTTCGAATGCGTGCGTGTGCGTAAGTGAGTGTCGTCCGGTTCGGCGGCACTATCGACACGGCGGCGACGGCGGCGCGTGTATTATGATTTTTGAATTATGAGTCGTTTACGTGTGTGTGCGTGCTACAATAAATTGACCTTCGGTTTCAGCGGTACCACGGACAACGGACGCGACGGCGATGATGCTCGTATTTCGGATTCGCGTTCGTGTGCGTGCGTTGCTAACCATTCGTTCGGGCGACGCTACTGCGTGTTCCCTCTCCTTGTCTTGTACGCTGGAATTTCTGTATACCTCGATGTTTTGGATTTTCTAGATACTTCGGATTTTCTTCTTCAGATTTTCTTCTTGTATTTAATTATATTATAAGGATAGATTTACTTTAACTCGAAATCACACAACATTTACTAACTTATTGTTTAACGAACTGGAATCTACGGATCCCACCGCTGCCACCAAAAATGTTATGGACGTCTCCACAACCGAGTTTGTTCGCTAATAAAGAAATACGTGGTGTATGAGTTATCACTAATACTTTATTAATATAATCAATTTTAAAAGAAATTTAGTTGTACAGAATACTTATTAGACTTAAGTAATTTAACAGAGGTTCTGCTCGATGGTCTGCCAGTTCAACACTGTCTATTACACAGACAGCGAGACACGGTAGGGGCTCGCTCGGGCTCAAAACTGTCCACACAGCGAATTCCCTTAGTCCGTGTGACTCTGTCTGTTCACACATTAATATGCTTACACACTATTCTATATTATACTATTACTATATCTCATACTGCGTATAGCATACAGACAGGGGTTCACAACAGTATCATAGATATTAAATTTATAATATACAGTGTGATCACGATAAGTGGATACACTTAATAACTTAGCATATAGGTACTCAATTAAATGAGTTCTATTTTTTTTGCTGACTAATAAACTAATTACACACATTTTCAAATAATAAAACTAATTTTGTGACAGTTAAATTTGGTCATATGCACAACCACTTTTTTTTTTTATGGCATGGCCCATTTTTGATCACGTATTATTTTGCTCTGTATTTTATAATGAATATCAGTAGTTGAATTTCTTTTCTAAGTTAAAAAATGGCTGAATATAGCAACTACAGTATTTAATTTATAGTTTATTACCTTTTCTAACAAATTATTAATTGTGCATCATTGTGCTGTAAACAACATTGTATGTGATTTCAAAATTCACGATTAGTTGCAGAAATAATTTGTTCCGTGGTAACTTGATAACTTACTGCATCTAATTAATTTTTTTTAATCAGCCAGACAGGTAGGTGGATCAGCGTACACTACTGTTTTCAAGTGACCCCAGAGGAAATAATCTAAATAAGGTTGTATAATGGTCACTGTGTCCCTACATTAGTTATGGGTAGGGCTCGGAAGTGGATGACCTCAAAAACATTAAATAATTATCTAAAAAAATGCAAAAATGACAAAAATGTCCTTAAAAAATAAAAGTTAAGTTATCGGCCTAATGGTAAACAAGAAACGATAAGAACTAAGAATGAATCGTTTTAAGGGAAAGTGCAATAATAAGGTAAGTACATGTTATTTGACAAATTATATGATTTAATTGTGGGTTTTCAGTTTCTTCCCACATCGTGGGTTATCATTTGTACTATTTATTTTATCGGTAGGCTTAATATTTAAAAAAAAATGGCCCAACATTAATAAAAGTCGTACAAATTGATACAATGATAGGGTGCATAGCATATATTATATAATACATGTACTGAATGTATATAGATATTTGTTGCATCACTGCGATAAGCAGTTATAGAAAGCTTTTAAAAAAAAATAATTTCCAAATCCTCATAAACAAGAATATTATGGAAAAACTTGCTGGGATGTGGAAACGCTCGGTGTGGAAAGCCCGTTTTTTGGTTAGAAGGGATTTTCTGGAAAATTCGCGAATGGTCGTACGAATGCATACAAATTACATACTAAATATTCGAGAAAGAAAATTTTGAAAAAGCCTATTTTTAGTATTTGAGGGGGGTTGGGGAAACACCCGGTGTGGAAAACCCGTTTTTCGGTTTTAAGGGATTTTCCGGAAAATTCGAGAATGGTCGTACGAATGCATACAAATTCCGTACTAAATATTCGACGTCCATGGGAACCGAGATAAGACATCACTAGGCAAAGGGAGCGGGGACTGGACTATAAGAGGGACATGGCCTGTATATGTACGTGTCCACTCATCTCTACTGCAAGCACCTTCACGAGACTCTTTGTAGTGATTGTTATTTGGACTTAGCACCATTTATGATTTACTGGAACATTTAAATAAACAACAGTGTATTTTACAATTGTGTTAAAATTATTCAACTACTACCTCATTGTCATCACGAAACGGTCTAGCTACCTGCAACGTTAATATACAAGTAGTCACCTGAACTACCAGTATATTACACTGGCGCAGTCGAAAAAGGAACTTCAAAGGAGTTAAAGGCGAATTGAGCAGTCAAGGCGGCGGAATTCAACTTCCAAAGGCGAGCCAAGCAGTCAAGGCGGCAGAATTCAACTTCGGAAGTAAAGTTCCGCCGCAGCGGCTTGATTCAACGTCACAACTCCACGTAGGCAGATCAACCGAGTCACAGTTAAGGACCAATTACTTTTGACAACTCCGGAGGCAAAGAACAGAATTTCAAATAACAGGCTAGCAAACAAAGACAGGATGAATCCAGCAGTAGGTGCAACAGTAATGTGAGTTAATTAATTAAGTTGAAGATATTGCAAATAGAATTGTAGCTTTGGGTGCACGTATCACGTTGATTTTTTAAACCAGCGTTATTTTTTTTTAAAATATTATTGGTGAAGGTGTAATATTTGGATAAATAAAAAGGAAATAATACGAGCTTGTTAGGGAAAAAAGGCATTTTTTGTAATAGACAGCGATAGACTGATCTAATAATTTTTTTTGTAATAGACAGCGGTAGTCTGATGTAGGATTTTTATGGTAAATAGATGACAAGGACCGATCTAAGATTTTTTGTAATAAACAGCAGGGACTGATTTAAGATTTTTTGTAATATACAGCAGGGACCGATCTAAGAATTTTTTATGGTAAATAGACAGAGGGGGGGACTGATCTATATTTTTTAAATAAATTAAGTGAAAAAGATTTTTAATACTCTTAGTGAACATTAGGTATATATGAATACAGAATCGGATGGTTCAGATATTGAAACTAGTTCTACGGACAGTTCAGTACAAAAAGTAAAAGTTAAAAAATATAAAACTGAGAAAGAATTACAG